AACATGATATTATTTTTCTTTACTTACATACAGTTATTGTATACGGTACGGTAGGTATAGCGGCGACGTTTGTAATCAGTAATCTATCTGGAACAATACTACAGGTAAGAAGTTTAATTCAGGTGAATATTCAGGTTATCACAGCATGAAAATATTGAAAAAAAAATGTACTTAATAATTTACATTCAACATGTTCAGTTTTGTATAGAAATATAACATTATTCAATTGGACAAGAAGCAGAATACATTTATTCTTCTGGATAACATGGGTTCTTGTCTTTTTGAAGGCTTCCCGCGTAAATCTTTGTTTAGTTTATATTTTGAATTTCAAATTTGAATTTGAAATTTCTGTCGACATATCGGTAGTTTGCTGGTTTTTTTTTAAATGGACTGAATTTTAAATCTAAACAAATTACACGGAAAGTAATGAAAAAAGTTATATGTTTTGTTTAAATCTCAAATTCCAGGCTGCCATTACTGGTATGGGTGTTGCTACTGGACCTTTAACGGGCGTTGTGGTTATGGGCGCATTCTTTCCGTGGGCCAACTGGAAAGTGAGTTGCTTTATATTATGTAAGAAAGATACATGTCAAACGCACATTTCATGATGAGTTGAACAAAATATGAATGTATGTCTAAAAAGATTGAAATTAGGCCATATGGCCCGTCGCAAGCCATCAAGAGCAATTTATGTAAGGTGTCTTGGAGCGTCGGACCACACACTCCTGAGAGGTTACGTCTGACAATTTGCCAGAACATCGAATCCTATTGCGTTGTGACAAAGAGCTTTGTCAACAAATATTTGTTTGGGGCTCGCGCAGTAAGCTCGCGCCATCTGATAAATAAACTTCAAATAAATGGTTACAATACAAGTGTACAAATATTAATAAGACAGAAGCTCTACAATGCAGCAAGAACATTGTGTAAAATATAACTGCAGAATGCCAACGACAAGGAATGGAACAGGTACACGGAATGGTTGCACAGGTAAGGTGGCTAAAAATAGATCGCTCTACCTGGACAACAGTACAGATAAATGCTTACAGGTACAGTAAATAACATAGATAAAAGAAATGTACAAAAATCTAATTAAATTGAATGGAAAATTATATAAATCAATAAATATATATTCACTTTCAAAACATTCTGAGAATTAGATACGGGAGATTTCAATAAATTAAGTGAGATTCATCATTAAACTGTTTCATCCTTCTGGTCAGCAATGCCTCAGGACCCGAAAGTGATCGTAACCCATGAAGTATCGAGGATGCAAATGAGTGTCTGTAAAATCACATTGTTGGTAATATTGCATCTGATATATTTTTTATATAACCGGAAGTGGTATGTTTAATTTAGGGCGCCGTCAGCGGAAGTCTTGCATCTTTCGCAATCATGATGTGGATAGGAGTAGGGAAATACAGTATCGTCGGAGAACCAGTCGTCCTTGACATTCCTACGTCATCATGTCACCCTGACAACACTAGCATGGCAACAGCTACCCTAGCAACATCTGCCTTCATCAACGTTACTCAACCAAATATTCCCCAGGAATTGTAAGAAATTGTGTAACCCCCTCCCCCCCCCCCCCCCCCCCCCCCCAAAAAAAAAAAAAAAAAAAAACTAAAATGAAATATGAAATCAGCAATAAAATGATATACAGATTTTTAGTGTAAACGATTCTATGAATACATCTTCATTATCTATGAGGTGACGATGTTTGACAATTGGATTGGAATAATACTGTAAACTTTAATATTTTCGTGGGGCTCAGATAACGTGGATTTTCAGAAAGATGCGTATGCGTTTAAATCAGTTTGTGGATATATATTTTGCTTCTTGACTCCTCCAACATGGCGGGTCGAAATCCCCAAACAAAACAATCGGTCTAACAGATGAGTCTATAAAGCAGCAGAAATTTGCACTATCGGAGCACTTGGATTTATTCTACATGTGTATTTTCCCGTTTTTTCCCTTATTTGTTTTAATGGAGATGTTATAAACATGCTGGGGATTTCTTGTTTTCGTTTTGTCTTTGTACAGATCTGGTGTAGAAATTTTATACAGCCTGTCTTATCTATGGTATTCTGGTGTGGGAGTTTTCCTCTGTATTGGTATAGGACTAATCGTCAGCCACATAACAGGTAAGGTAGAATACCATTGTGGCTGGTTGTAATACTAAGTATTAAGTTCCATCAAATGAAAATTGTATACTATAGATGGTGTATGTTGTTATTTATACATTATATCAACATTAAAAAACAGTTTAAATTATCCAATCAAAAACTAGGTTCCAGTCATCCAGTCAAAATAGTTGTAACTGGATTGCTCTCAGAATTTTAATCCTATTACAATATGTCAACTTAGTTATTATATTTGATTATCAAATCGAAATGACGTCATTTGTTGTTTGAGTGTGTTGATTAATTAAAAATCAATATATTTACGATGTTTCTCCTATTGCAGGATTGGTAACTTAGTTTTGACAAAGATTGAAATAGCAAGAGTCGTCAAAGAAATAGAAAATGTTTACCCTTCCGGAGCACCTGGTCTTATTCTCAGTGTATTTATTTTCAGGGATCTTCATTGAAACATTTCTTTTGTCCATATTCTGCCTTCGATACATCTAATTTGAGTTCTTATTAAGATTCTATTGATCATCCTCGATACTCAAGGAGTTACATCACTTTCGCTCTCTCAGTTTACCCATGGAACATGTCATGGGGAAATTGAAGTTTTTATTTGCGACACCTTGTGGACAAGACGAAACGTCTAATTTGATTGTTTGTTGTACATTTAACGAATCTCAAGATCGCATATCGTTATTTTGTAATTGCTTTGACCCCTTGAGTATTGGAGTATTGAGTATGTGTGTTGGCAGTTCGATTCTTAGTTTTTTACAGGATTATTGTATACAAAGCCCTATATCGGAAATTGAATTGATTTTAATTAATTTTCTAAAAACCTAAACGTTCAACAATTGCTCAGCTGTTTCAAAACCATGAAACTAAAAACATGTATCAAATAGGAAACCAATTGAATACCGATTTTTTTTAAAAAAGTGATTTAAATAATTTCAATGTTATTATTTTTTTTCTGATTGAGTACAGGCCCTATGGACCCAAGAGACGTTGATTCGAAGTATTTGATTCCTGTGTGTGACTGGCTTTGTTGTTGCCTACCAAAGTCAAGTCGAGGCTGTACCAACAGGGAAAAATATTACGTCTCTAAGGTAAAGATTGATTTTTTTTCAGAAAAGTACATCCTTTTAGTGAGGAGGATAGACCAATCCGTTTCTTAGATTCCTGAGAGCAAACAATACCACGGGGAGTAGCGATTGTCAAACTGCGCACCTAGGACCTTCCACCACTCTTACGGACTGAACTAATACCGTCAAATCTAGAAATAAAACCATTTCGCAATTGTTGGGAAATGAACAACGTTAAAGAAAGAAAATCGTCTATTTTGTAAACAGTGGCATATTTTGCGTGTAGTGATATTTAATTCTTGTCATTTTACCTATGTCGATTGTTCGGGTTCTTCAGATTTGTTGATAACATGTTTAATACCCATGCAGATAATTTGTAAATATCGCATATTATCTTCTTGACCATAAGAAACACGAACACATTGCCCAATTTGTTGTCAGGAATAAAGAAAGGTAATTATCATTATTTTTCTCATCATTATAAATTATAGATAACAGTTATGAATAATTTCATTTTCACAAGAAGTTTTATCTTTTTTCCAGAACAAGGGAATTTCGTTACAAGACGACAAGGGTTCGAACCTTGGAACAGACAATCAGGCTTATAGTGGCTACGGGAACGATATTTCATCACCCGAGAACGTAGAAAGTGATGTAACAACATTCAAAACAAACCTGTAAGCATAAGACAGATATGTCCACTGAAGGATCTGCCATTATTTTTACGAGACCGGACCGAGACATAGATCCACATGGCAGAATGGCGGTTCGCACGCAATTCAGGTAGCTCTCTAGGTAAAAAACATTGGTTTGATATCTATTCTAGCGTGATGTGTCGATAAAGATTTTGAGCAATGAACAAGTGGACATGGATGTGAGCTGTGAAAATTTTGAACTTTTGCTTTCTTGAAATGAACTTTCGACAAAGTGTTAAATGTGGACGAGCGAGGTGAGTTATTGTTTAAAGATATCCGCTCAATGTGCACATGTCAGACATTCAAAACGTTAAACAATTTAAAGTACAAATCTTGCTTCGACGACGCAATTCTCTACCGGACACATCTTCCGTTACTATTGACTCGGTTTACGCTGTAAAGTCCACCATGGCTACCCCTGGCTCCTTCGTCATACAAAGCCAAGGTCAGACTTACAATTTAAATAGCTTGTCCAAGCTACCACTACAGTCCCAGGTATAGTAAATAGTATAGCCCCTTCTCTAGCTCTTGGACCTCCTATCAGTCAATTGATTTAATCTGCAATGACTTCCTATAATACACAGATCACTAAACTGACCGAGGAAATGGCTGTTCTCCGAAGTGACAATAAACACATAAAATGTAAGGTATTGATCCTTGAGACCACTTTAAAAGAACTAGAACAGTACGGAAGGAGAACCTCTATACGGTTTTATGTGGTACTACTGGAACCCGAGGAAAACCAGATGACAAGGTTGTTGAGCTGTGTTCTAACAAATTAGACATCAATATCACCAAGGATGATATTAACAGATCACATATTATAGGTAAAGAATGGGAAAGTTCAAATCATTTGTCGTCAACAAAATTGGAAAATTAAAAATGAAATCTATCCAGCCGAGAGCAAGTTAAAGGGACTTGGTGACTCAAACAATAGAATTTTCATTACAGAATATCAGACATCTGTTTGCGAAAAGATAGTAAAAGGTTTAGATACTGCTAGAAAGTCTAAACTCATACTGGACGGTCGACGGTCGTATGACTCCGACAAAATTCTTTTCTAACCATTAAGTGACATCGCAGACTTTGCACCTGAAATT